CTCGTTTGCTCTCGACGAGCGAGACGATGCAAGGCAAGTCTGCAAGTGGACACGGGTCGTGGCACTATACCATGCACCTTGTCCCACAGGCAACGCGACGAGACGCGAAACGACTGCTGGACATTCTCCGAGACGACAACATGACAGATGAGCTTATACCTGCGGGAGAATATGCCAAATGGCGGGCGCACGGCGAGGAAGCGGGGCGGGGTGCCAAGACCTCGGCTGCTCGCCCAACGCCGCCTTCACCCTCGCAGTGCACTCTTGCGAAACCTCCTTCGCAACGTCGGCCGCCTCTTCCCGGTCGTACTCCCAAACGTACTGCCTGCGCATCAGACCACAACCAACGCGTCAGCCCGGGCTCTGCAAGTCTCTCTTTGCAGACCGTTGTGGCGCCACGGCCCAGGTCGTCTGCGACGCGTGCGTGCACCGTCTCGCCTAGTGATGGCAGCGCACCCGCCCTCGTCCTTTTCCAGCGTGTACGACATGCTGGCCTCCAGCGTCTCCTTCATCGCATTGACAGCAACCGACGGCTTGAACCTATATGTTGCTTGCAGCGCCGATGAGTCGGCATCGGCCCCGTATGGGCCGGCGGGCGGAGCGTGGGTCGCCGGACCGCTGCTCCTCCGTGGGCTCCAGGCGGAATGTGTTCTCGTAGATCTTGACCGGCTCCACGCCGCCCGTGTCCGCGTCCGCCATACGAGAAGGGGCCAACGTGCCGGGCGGCGCAGTGAAACGTTCAGTTCATAAGAAATTTGCTAGCTAGGGGTCAGGGCTCTCTAGCCCGTAGCCCGATGCCGATCATCCGGCCCGCTGGATGCGCTTCTCAGCTCACCGGCCCTGGATGTGAGGTTGCCGACTGCACTCCAAGTGCTCCAAGTGCAAACCCGGAGCCGCGGGAGAGAATTATTACATGGGAGAGTAGAGAGAACGAGGGAGAGAACGACGAGAGTGGGACGACCGCGAGGTGGCATGAAGGTTGAAGCGAGAAGCGGCGAGAGACTGCGAAGAGAGATAGGAAGAGGCAGACTCCCTAGGGTGGGCGACGGCTAGCACATCACACACCTCTCCTTAAAATCCCTGTGTGGTGGCGGCGTGCCGTCCTCCCATCCCTCCCTTGGGTTGCGTGTTTTCTTTCTTTCAGAATTATTACACGTGCAGGTGTGGACCCTGTCCTCCTCCCCCATCCCTCGTTTGGCTTTGTCTGTTTTCTTTCTTTCTTTCTTTAGAATTATTACAGGGTCGTGGACGACCGCGAGGTGGCATGAAGGTTGCAGCGAGAATCGGCGCGAGGGACTGCGAAGAGAGATAGGAAGAGGCAGACTACGCCCACAAGGGTGGGCGACGGCTAGCACCACACTCCTCTCCTTAATTAAAAATCCCTGTGTGGTGGCGGCGTGCCGTCTTCCCATCCGCATCCCTCCCTTGGCGCTTGGGTTGTCTGTTTTTCTTTCTTCCTTTTAGGATTAAAATAAAACTCCCTCGCACGAC